ATAACGTCTCTGTTGAAGGGGGGTCCGGTGCGTTTGCAGTGGTCAGCCGAGGCGGACAGGGCTTTTGGGAGACTGAAGGACCTGTTTACTTCGGCTCCGGTGCTGGCGCATCCGGATCCCGCTTTACCATTTCAGGTAGAGGTTGACGCGTCAGAGGCCGGTATTGGGGCCGTACTTTCGCAACGGTCCGGCACGCCACCTAAACTCCGCCCCTGTGCCTTTTACTCCAAAAAGCTCAGCCCGGCGGAGCGAAATTATGACGTAGGGGACAGGGAGCTGTTAGCCGTGGTACAGGCCCTAAAGGTGTGGAGGCATTGGCTTGAGGGGGCTCAACACCCTTTTCTCATTTTGACTGACCACCGTAACCTGGAGTACATCCGGGCAGCTAGGAGATTGAACCCTCGCCAGGCGCGGTGGAACATGTTTTTAGCCCGGTTCGTATTTAAAATCATGTACATCCCTGGGTCCCAGAACGGGAAGGCAGACGCAATGTCTCGGCGGTATGACACAGAGGAGAGGTCCGTTGAGCCCACTCCCATACTGCCGGAGTCTTGTCTGGTGGCACCGGTAGTGTGGGAGGTCGATGCGGAGATCGAGCGGGCGTTGCGTACCGACCCTAGTCCTCCACAGTGCCCGGTGGGTCAGACGTACGTTCCGCTCGAGGTTCGGGATCGACTGATCTATTGGGCTCACACGTCACCCTCCTCTGGACATCCTGGTATTGGCCAGACTGTGCACTGCCTTAGCGCTAAGTACTGGTGGCCAACGTTAGCCAGGGATGTGAGGGTTTATGTCTCCTCCTGCTCGGTGTGCGCCCAGTGTAAGGCGCCTAGACACCTGCCCAGGGGAAAGTTACAACCCCTGCCCGTTCCACAACGACCATGGTCTCACCTCTCGGTGGATTTCGTCACAGACCTTCCCCCCTCGCAGGGGAATACGACTATACTGGTCATTGTGGATCGGTTCTCTAAGGCCTGTCATCTACTCCCAATGCCGGGTCTTCCTACTGCCCTACAGACCGCCGAAGCACTATTCACCCACGTTTTTCGGCACTACGGGGTACCCGAGGATATAGTGTCTGATCGAGGTCCCCAGTTCACCTCCAGAGTCTGGAGGGCGTTTATGGAGCGTTTGGGGGTCTCGGTGAGCCTGACCTCGGGGTACCACCCGGAGAGCAATGGGCAGGTGGAACGTGTGAACCAGGATGTGGGTAGGTTTCTGAGATCATATTGCCAGGGCCGGCCGGAGGAGTGGGCGCGGTATGTCCCCTGGGCAGAGATGGCCCAGAACTCTCTCCGCCACTCCTCCACCAATCTAACCCCTTTCCAATGTGTGTTAGGTTACCAGCCGGTTCTGGCACCGTGGCAGCAGAGCCAGATCGAGGCTCCTGCGGTGGATGAGTGGGTGCGGCGCTCGGAGGAGACGTGGAACGCTGCACACGTCCACCTGCAGCGGGCAATCCGTCGTCAGAAGGCGAGCGCCGATCTCCACCGCAATGAGGGGCCGGTGTACGCACCTGGTGATCGAGTCTGGCTCTCTACCAGAAACCTACCCCTCCGCCTGCCCTGCCGGAAACTGGGTCGGCGGTTTGTGGGGCCTTTTAAAGTCCTGAGAAGATTGAACGAGGTGTGTTACAGGTTACAACTGCCTAATGATTATTGTATTAACCCCTCGTTCCATGTGTCTCTTCTCAGGCCGGTGGTAGCTGGTCCACTCCAGGACTGTGAGATAGGAGAGACTCCTCCGTCCCCACTGGACATCGAGGGGGCTCCGGCGTACACAGTTCAGTCCATCTTGGATTCGAGACGTCGGATGGGTGGTCTCCAATATCTCGTGGAGTGGGAGGGGTACGGTCCGGAGGAGCGGTGCTGGGTGCCGAGGAGAGACATCCTAGACCCGTCTCTACTGATGGAGTTCCACCGTGGACACCCTACGCGCCCTGCTCCGCGTCCTCCTGGTTGTCCCCGAGGCCGGGGTCGGCGCACGGCTGGAGCCGCGCGTCAAGGGGGGGGTACTGTCACGGTTTCGGCCGAGGCTGCTCCTCCTCCTTGCTCGGGCAGGCTTCGGCGGTCGTCGTCCCCGGAGTACTAGCTATCACCGTTTGATGTTTTCGATGTTTGTTTGGTTTTGTCTTTTGTGTACACCTGTTTCCTTTTTGGTTGATTATGTCTCCTATAAGTTTCTCGTTTTGTTAGTCATGTGTTGTGTGTTATTGTGCACCTGTCTACTGGTGCGGCTCGTCATTTGTATTTTTGTATATTCCGGTCGTCGCACTGTATGGTTTCGTGCGCCTTGGATTATTTGTGTTTTGCGCATTGTTGCGCATAGTCCGCCTCCTACGTTGTTGAGGCCAGAGTCTGTTTATTTTTTGTGTGTTCAGTAAAGTCGGTTGGACTTAGCTTCTGTGTCCTGCGTGTGACTCCTCCACCACATCCACATCAGCCAGTTCTGACACCCTGTTCTCCAATGGTATTGTGTATAATGAGTCAGAACCCCAGACAGAAGCACAACCAATAATTGCTTTTAAAAATATATTTTAATTCACTACAGACATTATTTTTTCTAACATCTAGCATGCATGACCTGTAACTCAAGACAAAATAGTTACACTAAAACCACAGCAGAACAATTCTCAACATGCCACTGTCAGTACAATACAACAAGCACTGTTGGAGGAGCATAATAATCAGGGCAAAAATGAGAAATAAATAACAATTATACTTATCTGTACACATTTGAACTGCTTCCTCAACTTATCAGTATCCTATACAGTCTGTGATTCCTGTCCAAATCTCTGGTGTGTTCTTTACATTTTTCCTCTCCCTGTATTCTACAAGGTGAGGTTACCACCCCTACTACCTACTCATGTATCCTCAAAAACGGAACATTGTCATATTGCTTTTGTGTGTGGAATGTGTATTAGGCCTACAGTTTGTGTGTGCATTTGTGCTTGCGTGGTGTGTGTTTTTTTGGTTTTACTATCCTTGTGGAAACCAGACGGGTTGTAATACTTGTATCGACCCTTATTTATACAAAACTTCCATTTCCGGCTTTGTTACATTCGTTCCAATAGCCCAGTGAACAAGACTATGAAGTGTGGCAATGCGAGAATAATTTGTACATTATGTATTTGTGGAGACTGACTCATGCAATATGATCAGGGTCTCTGTTGTACCCGTCAAATGGACATGATCACATATTATTGTTGATATTATCACATTATTGTTACTGTTCATCTTATTCAATGATGGTGCAGCACAGAATGGTGAACAAGAGACGGTGTCCTGTGTAGTAGATTTAGTTCAAGAGAAATTAACACAAGTTCAAATACACCTGAAACTCATTACTACATCTACTATAACCAGTTCTAAAGTCAACACAGTGTTATAGTATCTTGTGCTACAATATTGCTGACTGTAGACCCATGCTTTGTGATGCGATCCTCATTGTACAATGATTTTGTGTACATTGCTATGGTATTTATCTACGCTAATGATGAGCAGAGCTACTCGGATTCACTGCACCCATTCACAGTGTCCATATAGATTATTTCTCGACATACAACGTACAGTCACAGTGTGTTGAGGAAAGAAAGGATTGTTTGTGGACTCATCATAAATATACAGTCCCTCAGTGTCCCAGCAGAGCCAGCAGGGTGCCAGCTGCACCAAGTCTCATTGACTGTCTTTGCTTTGAATGGAAACAAAGAATCTGCTCAAGAAGAGAAAGAAAAATGTACAGAAACAGCATAAAAAAACAATACCCTCTCAGCAGTTGCCATCACAGGGGCTTCAAAGGGGAAAAGAGCTAAAGATGAAAGCATTCTGATGGTAGCCAGCTCTCATCTACTGAGTCTGGCTTTTCTGGGTAAGAGTAGGACTCGACACATGCCCGCTCTGACAACCTTGATAATGCAGGTGGTGGAGTCAAAGGCCCCGTACACACTCAAGTTGTGCAACTGATGTGCTGCGCATTTGGCACAACATTTGTGATACAATAAAGAGTACATCAGTTGTACAAGCTGAGTGTATACGGCCCCCTCTAATACAACAAACTGTTAGGTAGCTGATGACAATAGGCCTACCAGAACAAAAATAACTCACAACTCAAGTAATGTGGGAGGGAATCAGACAAGCAAATAGTCAATTTACAGCCATGATTTCTAGCTTGTTGAATTGCTAATATTGAATCACTGTCAACAAACATTTAATGTTCTTGTCATAATAATGATAAGTAATGATTTAAAGAATAGCTCTGTCGTAGCCGGCCGCGACCGGGAGACCCATGGGGCGGCGCACAATTGGCCCAGCGTCGTCTAGGGTAGGGGAGGGAATGGCCGGCAGGGGATGTCACTCAGTTGGTAGAGCATGGCGTTTGCAACGCCAGGGTTGTGGGTTCGATTCCCACGGGGGGGTATAAAAAAAAAAAAGTAACAATAAGTCGCTCTGGATAAGAGCGTCTGCTCAATGACGTAAATGTAAATGTAAATAGCGGTTTTCGTGCTGAAAGAATCTTGTATTGTAGTGGGGAGGGGGCTAACAGGGGAGGATTAGGTGGCCATGATTGTATGAGAGTCAGGACCTTGTTTTAAGGGCACCCTGTGGATGGCAGTGTCCCCATTACAGCCCTAAGGTATTGAGGCGGGAAGAATGCCCTCTAACACCACTTCCAACAGCATCTGGTCTCCTACCCAGACATCAACCAGGTCTGACCCTGCTTAGCCTCAGATGAAAGCCAGCAGAGAGAGGCAGGCAGGGTAGTCTGTCTGCTTGCCATAGATTAAAGTATTATGTCCCTCTTTTGTGCTTGTTTCAGACAAGTTCCCTCTATTTTTACTAATACATAAGAAGTTAACCAGAGAACCCTTGTGGTTACACCTGGCATCTTTAAACTAACAAATATCACAAGAAGTTGGTGGGTTAGAGAAGATGCATCTGTATAAGAATGGAAGGGGAGGATGGAAAGGCAGTGAGGACTGGAGGTGGGAGTCTTCTGTTGGCCTACATGGGGCAGACTTTGTTCTCTGGGATCGGCAGCTGGGCGAAGGAACTGCACTCGCTGGGGGACTCCTCCTCATTCTTAGGCTGAGCGTTGCCGCAGACCGGGATGCGGGCAGCAATGGCTGACATCTCGCCCCCCGTGCAGCTCTCCCCCGTCATTCCCGGTCGCTGCGATGTCGTGTTCATGTTCTCTGGCACAGGCTTGCCGGTAAAGAGCTGGATCAGGCACTTCCTGAACTGGACAAAGGTCAAAGGGCATTAGAACAGCCCATCAAAAAGAAAATGTCAGACAGCCAGTGAAGGCAGTGTTCATTCAGTACGAAGGGGGAAAAACATTTTAAAACAGAAATTAAATAAATGTTATTTTTGGACAAGTTCAAAAAGCACATTCATTGTTTCTTAACATGTATGCTTCTGATTGGTGCCTTATGAACAGGACCCAGGTGATAAGGTGATATCACACTGCAAGGCAATAAGTGGCGATCTGAACTGTCAGGATACTGTAGCTCCTCTTAAAAAGAAGCAGATAAGCGGTAGACAGTTACATGGCTGTGCGGGTAGGAGATATGTATCATACTTATCAAGAGATGCTCAGCACATATTGCAACAATCCCATTGCTTTTTGCTATTTGTTTAAAAGGCAGATAGGATGGAGTACTGACCACAACCCTACTGCTGAAGGGTACACATCAATGGCCTGTCAATGCTGTCCTTGATAAAAGAACACAAGCTTCAAAGCCAATTTTGTCTAAAAGGGTGGGAGAAAAAACTATAAAAAGCTCTGAATCATTACTTGTTTCCACATTACCTTACATGACTGACCTTTTTGTGAGCTTTTTCTGGCCCAAAAGCAGATTCCAGGAAAACCCTCAATGCATCACCCCCAGCAAATTCAAGCATGACCCGTGCCACTATTGAAGTTTCCATTTCAACATCAAGTCCAAGCTAATGCTTCTCACATCTTTACTTTCCAAAGGCTGCTGAAAATAAACACTATGGCTGGGATTCAATTAAATCGCAGGTAGACAATGCTGTTTTTAAAGGGAATTTCAGATTGAGACGACATATCCCACTAGGAACCGACATCAGTTTAACTTCTAGTTTTGATTTAGATTTGGTTGAGTTTTCAGCTGATGTGAAATAAATACAAAGATTCAACATGTCATTGGAATTATGTTATAAGTTGGGTGAAAAAAGACAAAATACCCTTATGTTGAGTACTTTTCCATGTTGATTCAACGTCATCACATTGATTATTTTGGTTGAAATGACGTGGAAACATCATTGATTCAACTAATTTTTGCCCAGTGGGATACTGCATTTGCCGTGAAAGCAATCTCCCCGAACGTGGGAAGATTGCCTTTAAAAGTTGCATTGTCTACAACCCATGATCGGATTGAATCCCGGCCCATTCTCAAATGGATTTTCACTTCAGATTCACAGTGTTTTGTCCACTGACCTTGACATCTTTAAGGCTTTAGCAGAGAATCCATTTAAGTGTTTGTTTGACAAATGTGTTCGCTTGATGTTCCAAAAGACAACAAGAAAGCAACTATGGCACTAAGCTACAGAATGTGTCATACCAAGTATAAGGTCATAAATGTGTCACCTTAATGGAATTATGAATGGCTTGAGCAAAATAACGTCACCAAACACTTTTTCTGTCCCATTGAAAGTCTATTCTGGAGGCTAGATGATTTTCCAAAATGAAGAAGGCAAATATCATAAACCTTTCACACTTCTCAGCTAAATGGAGGACACATTTGAATTCCCATATTTCTGTGCACTGGACATAGACAGCAGGATTGTGTGTCAGAAGAGCTTTGGTGAGTGGTACAGTGGTCCTGTATAGCTCAGTTGGTAGTGCATATCACTTGCAATGCCAGAATAGTGGGTTCGATTCTCGGGACCACCCATACGTAAAACTGTTGTTTTGGTTAAAAGCTTCTGCTAAATGGCATATAATAATATTATTATTATTAGTAGTAGTAGTAGTAGTAGTAGTTGTAGTAGTATGGTACAGAGCAGGATGTACTTGCATTCTCCTAACAAATTGTCTTTCATCTTGCCAAGGACATGAGTACACATTATGTAACGCTAGCAGGGTGTACTGTGTCAAGCATACCTCTGCAATGATCCCTTTCTCAATGCAGTAGCTGCTTCTGTGCAGTGAAAGTTGTGCTTGGATCAAAGAAAGATCTTTATGTCTCTGGCTGGGATTGCACTGTAGCCAACTTTCTCTAATAGCCTTCACAACAAGGCTCATGGGCCTTTGTGCAACAGTCAGAAGTACCCCTCCAAACCCGCAGAGCCAGGGCTGAACAAAGCACATCCCAATCAGCTTAGAGAGAGAGAGATGGAGGAGTGAGGAGAGAGGAGGACGGGAAGGAGATGCTCCTTGATAATGCACTAAAGTAGGAGTCCTGTCAATCAAGTCATTCCCAAATGTTCATTCTCTTCAGGCTTCACAATGTTTCAATCATGTGTCTGTGCCCCTCTATGGGACTGGGCAGAGTACAGTCCCAAGATGCCATATGGCACAATAGAGAGACTATGGCATGCCAACCATATTTACATTACACAGCCACAGACAATACTTAATTTGCTCAATTATTATTCAACAACTTCTGCCTGACAACTTTGATCTTTGGGGACAGTGGTTCTTCATTTGTATTTTGAGGGACTGGCCTTGTAAGATCAAAGCCCTTTCTTTTAAGAAATATCAAAGGATAATGGTAGAATGTTCCTCCTTGACCTTGCTGTGACCTGTGTATGATATACTTTGCACCTGTCTATGGTATGAATCTGCTTTACTGTATAGAAGTCATCCTAAGCCTCCTAAGTCTCTCTAACACTATTATGTAACTTCCACACAGACCACCCCATTGCTTGAGGTCAGTTGACTTTTACAACTGTCCTACCTCTGAGATATGTTGAAATCAGGATCTGCCTGCTAGCTGTCCTTATTTACATTTATTCACATCTCCTGCTCTTTTATAAATACAGTGACCTATTTACAGGACAGATCTAAAGTGGAGCAGCCAGTCAGATGGACAGGCAGAATTCATGCAGACTCCCACCGGGTGACCAAAATCTCCCTGACCAATACAGTATACTATACAGGACAGTTAACCAAGTATTTACTTACGTTCAGGTTTTTTAAAACCAGATCTCATTTTTATGTAAACAGCATGCTATTGAAGTTTGTAGACACTGTTTTTGTGATTTTACTTGGTTTTAAAAAACATACCCCACCACAGTGATAGACCTCAGGCTCATTTGGCAGTATGAGGGCATGCAGAAAACATGAATACATTTTTAAAAAACACCCAAATACCACTTTTTAGAAACGGCAAAGATCCCAGTATAGTGATGCAGGTCTTTAGATGTTGTAAACATGAAATTGTGTCATTTCAAACTTTATCCGCAATGTTCTATTCTATTTGGTTGGAATCAAGTGAAAGGTTTATCGTTCCCATTCCTCTCGCTACTTGCGCATATACATGCAGCCTGGAAGTGAAAGTTGACACCTGTCTGTTTTGTGCTGAATGTAAAGATTTTTGATGTCCTAAATGGGCCATATATCAGAGAGAATACTATTTATTTGGCTCTATTTGGTCGCCATAGAAGCCATCAGTCCCGAGAAACCATCTTTATCACCACAATGGGAACGAGAAAGCACGCGCATGAGGCTTTGTATTTTAATGTTTATCACTGACCAAATTCATTGTGGCTTTGCGTAAATCTAAATCTACAGTGCATTCGGAAAGTATTCAGACCCCTTTACTTTTTCCACATTTTGTTACGTTACAGCCTTATTCTAAAATTGATTAAACTGTTTTTTCCCCTCATCAATCTACACAAAATACCCCATAATACATAAGTATTCAGACCCTTTGCTATGAGACTTGAAATTGAGCACAGGTGCAGCATGTTTCGATTGATCATCCTTGAGATGTTCCTACAACTTGAGTGGAGTCCACATGTGGTAAATTCAATTGATTGGACATGATTTGGAAAGGCACACATCTGTCTATATAAGGTCTCACAGTTGACAGAGCATGTCAGAGCAAAAACCAAGCCATGAGGTCGAATGACTGGTCCGTAGAGCTCCGAGACAGGATTATGTTGAGGCACAGATCTGGAGAAGGGTACCAAAAATATTCTGCAGCATTGAAGATCCACAAGAACACAGTGGCCTCCATCATTCTTAAATAGAAGAAGTTTGGAACCACCAAGACTCTTCCTAGAGCTGGCCGCCCAGCCAAACTGAGCAATCGGGGGAGAAGGGCCTTGGTCAGGGAGGTGGCCAAGAACCCGATGGTCACTCTGACAGAGCTCCAGAGTTCCTCTGTGGAGATGGGAGAACCTTCCAGAAGGACAACCATCTCTGCAGCACTCCACCAATCAGGCCTTTATGGTAGAGTGGCCAGATGGAAGCCACTCCTCAGTAAAAGGCACATGACAGCCTAAAGGACTCTCAGACCATGAGAAAAAAAGATTATCTGGTCTGATGAAACCAAGATTGAACTCTTTGACCTGAATGCCAAGCGTAACGTCTGGAGGAAACCTTGCACCATCCCTACAGTGAAGCATGGTGGTGGCAGCAACATGCTTTGGGGATGTTTTTCAGCGACAGGGACTAGGAGACTAGTCAGGATAGAGGGAAAGATGAACGGAGCAAAGTACAGAGAGATCCTTGATGAAAACCTGCTTCAGAGCGCTCAGGCGAAGGTCCACCTTCCAACAGGACAACGACCCTAAGCACACAGCCAAGACAACGAAGGAGTGGCTTCGGGACAAGTCTCGGAATGTCCTTGAGTGGCCCAGCCAGAGCCTGGACTTGAACCCGATCAAACATCTCTGGAGAGACCTGGAAATAGCTGTGCAGCGACGCTCCCCATCCACCCTGACAGAGCTTGAGAGGAATTGCAGAAAATAATGGGAGAAAATCCCCAAATACAGGTGTGCCAAGCTTGTAGCGTCATACCCAAGAAGACTCAAGGCTGTACGCACAGGTGCTTCAACAAAGTACTGAGTAAAGGGTCAGAATAATTATGTAAATGTTATATTTCAGTTTCTTATTTTTAATACATTTGCCAACATTTCTAAAAACCTGTTTTTGTTTTGTCATTATGGGGTATTGTATGTAGATTGATGAGGATTTTTTGTTTTAAATCCATTTTGGAATAAGGCTGTAACGTAACAAAATGTGGAAAAAGTCAAGGGGTCTGAATACTTTCCGAATGCACTGTAAATCTCCCTTTTAATGAGCAGAGGAGCAAGAGAAATCAAGAACCGCTGATAATAACAATAATGCATTTGTATAGCGCATATCCCATGCTCAATGTGCAGAATACCTTTTTATAATTGCAAAACAAACTGGTACTTGCCTGCGGATCGAGGAACTGATGCATTTTTAAAGCAGCCATCCAGCATGGACAGTTCTACAATCTGGATTTCACATGTAATTTATTCATACACCATACATTATTTAAGGACAGGCTAACACCCAACAACAACAGGCTGAAAAATAACTGTCAGCTGAGTTTTCCTCAAAGGCTTTCATCCCAGGACTAACGATTGATGATGCCTCTCAGCTCTGTGTCAGTTGAGTGAGACTTGCCACAACCTGTCAGAGAACTGGTGGGCATGTTTTCTCCTGAAAACGGCCGAATTGTATTTCCATTCATATTGCAGAATTTAGAGAATTCATAAGAAATTTAGGCCAGGATTAAATCAGATCAGCAGTAACCCATGTTAGCCGACAAACACATAATTTATCATTGCTTTTGTTTAGGCGTGTCAGCGGTGTAATTGCGTTAGAGCTGTCAAATCGGTAAGTGGCTGCTCTTGTGGTAATTGTCATGAAACCACACCTGTCCTTAAATCCGACCCGCGTTAGAAGTTCAGAATGAGAAAGTGTATGCTATATAGAAATAATGACACTCAAATTTAAAATCATTAAACCAATACTAGGGATTTATAGAAGCCTAACCGAGGTGTAAATTATCTAACACATTCCAGTGTTAAAATGTTGTAATGTAGCTGCATGGGATTTCTACTAATGCAATTCAGTGCATCCAATGGCATGTCCGCGATCGGTAACGCCAGCAGCCGCTTGTGGATTTGACAGCTCTAACATAGTTACACCTCCGACACCGCCAAAACAAAAGCAATCACAAACGATGTGTTTAACACACGGATAACGCGTGTTACTGTTGATCTGATTGTATCCTGGCCTTATTCCCAGTACACCTGGGAATGGTTGTCTATACCCTTGGACAACAATAATAACAGCAATATCACAGATCCATAATGTGTTAGCTTCCAATGAAATGAACAAGCCAGAGAATGTCATAAGTAGCCATGCGTTCAGGAGGAAAAGAGTGAGATACCTGTTTGTTCATGAAGACGTAGATGACTGGGTTGTAGACTGCAGCCGTCTTGGAGAAGAAAGCGGGTGCGGCAGCCAGTCTCGGGTCCAGGTAGATGGTGGGACAGGCTGTGACAATGATGGAAAAGGCTGCGTAGGGTGTCCAGCCCACCAGGTAAGCAACGATCATCACCACCACCATGCGGCTCACCTGACGCTCCGGTTTCTTGGCGTTACCCAGCCTGCCACGGGACACCTGAGGATTGACGTGGCAACAAACAGCTTTGGTTATTGAGCTATAAAGTCTGTTGTTTGAGTTCATTTAAAGACTTTAACATTTTAGTTATTTAGCAGACGCTCTTATCCAGAGCGACTTACAGTTATTGAGTGCATACATTTTCATACTGGTCCCCCGTGGGAATCAAACCCACAACCCTGGCGTTGCAAGCGCCATGCTCTACCAACAGAGCTACACTGGACTTTAAGAATTGACCTGAAAGGCTTGAATACACCAGGACATAATGGCTAAACAATTCCTAGAACAAAACATATGCCCAAGCATGTGCTTGCTAGTCAGCCAATGACTACTTTGGTTCAGTTGCATCCTCTCCCAGTAGTTCCAGTAGTCTATATGGGAACTGACCTTCCTCAGCTTCTGTAGGAGCTTCCCATAGCAGTAGATGATCACCCCCAAGGGCATTATGAAGCAGGTCACAAAGAAGGTGATGATGTAGGTGTGATTCCAAATGTTGTTGGAGTACCTGAGGACAGAGGAAAGTAGACCATAAACATTTGAATGACATTACCACCATTTTCTATATGGCCCAGTCATTTTATGACAATGTTAACTACTCATTTAAAGGGGCTATCTGTAGTTCATACAACCATTTTTGCCATGCCCAAATGCCACTGCAATTAGAAAATGCCACTGCTATTCAATAATGACCTGTGTGTACCTACGTGCATGTATGATACAAACAAGAGGTTTATGTTGCTGTATGTTTACTATAGGATGTGTGCTCTCTGCTCTCAGTTGCCTCTCACCAGTTGGGCTCGCAGGTGGTGCCAATCTTGCTGACAGTGTAGCTGCACCAGCCGAACACAGGAGGGATAGTCCAGATGAAGGAGAAGGTCCAGACGAACAGCAGGCCCAGTGCTGCATGCTTCCCCCTCAGACGGACGTTCCCTAGAGGCCGGCAGATCACAAAGTAGCGCTCGAAGGACAGGACCGCCAGGGACCACATAGCCACAATCCCTGAAAGAAGATACAGTCACAGGGCATTATGTAGGACCCAGAAGCCACATCACTACTTAACCCATTTACCTGTTATTCATTACAAAGCACTGACTTGCGTGCCTTATTGCTTTTAATAAAACGATTACTAACATTAAAATAACAATAAATTACATATTTTCATTAAAAACTTTATTTTGAGAAGAAGATACAGTATAGTCTGTCTAGTTATTTTGGTAATGTTGCTATGTAAAAGGACTGGTTGTCCGTTCTAAGCTACAGTGAGGAAAAAAGTATTTGATCCCCTGCTGATGTTGTATGTTTGCCCACTGACAAAGAAATGATCAGTCTTTAATTTTAATGGTAGGTTTATTTGAACAGTGAGAGACAGAATAACAACAAAGAAATCCAGAAAAACGCATGTCAAAAATGTTATAAATTGATTTGCATTTTAATGAGGGAAATAAGTATTTGACCCCTCTGCAAAACATGACTTAGTACTTGGTAGCAAAACCCTTGTTGGCAATCACAGAGGTCAGACTTTTCTTGTAGTTGGCCACCAGGTTTGCACACATCTCAGGAGGGATTTTGTCCCACTCCTCTTTGCAGATCTTCTCCAAGTCATTAAGGTTTCGAGGCTGACGTTTGGCAACTCAAACTTTCAGCTCCCTCCACAGATTTTCTATGGGATTAAGGTCTGGAGACTGGCTAGGCCACTCCAGGACCTTAATGTGCTTCTTCTTGAGCCACTCCTTTGTTGACTTGGCCGTGTGTTTTGGGTCATTGTCATGCTGGAATACCCATCCACGACCCATTTTCAATGCTCTGGCTGAGGGAAGGAGGTTCTCACCCAAGATTTGTTGGTACATGGCCCAGTCCATCGTTCCTTTGATGCGGTGAAGTTGTCCTTTTCCCTTAGCATAAAAACACCCCTAAAGCATAATGTTTCCACCTCCATGTTTGACGGTGGGGATGGTGCTCTTGGGGTCATAGGCAGCATTCCTCCTCCTCCAAACACGGCGAGTTGAGTTGATGCCAAAGAGCTCAATTTTGGTCTCATCTGACCACAACACTTTCACCCAGTTCTCCTCTGAATCATTCAGATGTTCATTGGCAAACTTCAGACGAGCCTGTATATGTGCTTTCTTGAGCAAGGGGACCTTGCGGGCGCTGCAGGATTTCAGTCCTTCACGGCGTAGTGTGTTACCAATTGTTTTCTTGGTGACTATGGTCCCAGCTGCCTTGAGATCATTGACAAGATCCTCCCGTGTAGTTCTGGGCTGATTCCTCACCGTTCTCATGATCATTGCAACTCCACGAGGTGAGATCTTACATGGAGCCACAGGCCGAGGGAGACATTCTTGAGTTATCTCAATTCAAATGTGACAGCACTTAGGGTATAGCTACAGCTACAGTAATTAGCAGGATATCTATAATCCATGTAAGAGGTAAATATTGAGGTACACTTACCTAAAATAGGCTAATGGCGCAGTAAAGGTACATTAGGCTGCTTCCTAATGGAGTGAAAAAGCTGTGCTTAAGCTCCCCCACGACGCCAGGACAGCGGAGTCACTGACCACCTTCCGGAGACAATTGAAACCCTACCTCTTTAAGGAATACCTGGAATAGTATCAAAGTAATCCTTCTACCACCCCCCCCCCCCCCCCCCTCCCCCACACCCCCATAAAAAAAAGTGGTTGTCCCACTGGCTATTATAAGTTGAATGCACCAATTTGTAAGTCGTAAATGTTAATGTTAATTACAGTAATAACTCACTCTCAAAGGCTTGCTTAATTACCACCGTCTCTGGGGCACAGCTACAGTACCCTTACTCTCTCCTTAACACTACATTTGATTCAGAATTGTTGTTGTAGAAAAGTATATAAAGGACCCAAATAAGTGCTATTTGGGTCCCATGTGAAATAAGGAGCAGCCCCCATTCCTTTTTTGTACTCATAAAAACTGCTCAACTCCATTGCAATACTAATAATATGCTCATGTTTTATGTTAATACAATGCTGTTACTAATGTAATGACAATGTTATTACACAGGTATACTTATTATGTTAACAATACATACAGCTGTGTGCATTTAAGGAACCTTCTTTGACCTAAAAAATGAACAGAGGGTTTGACCATTTATCCTGTGGGATCAGAACAGCAACTTGTGTATAGTCTATCTTGATTCTATTCCATCACGATCAACTAATACACACTAATCCCCAAAGACATATGAGACTGGGCAACATGTTCTCTGAAGTCTAAATACTTCCCTGAAAGCTTTTGAAACTCAAACCTTTATTGAATGTCATAATCCCTAACCTAGACTGCCGATGCATATCCCTCAGACCAGCAGGGAAATAACCCACTACTGCGTTTGTGGCATACTCTCTCCAGGGGCTGCACCTCTCTCAGCATACCTTACATACAAACCAGCTCAAAAACAAATGGATTAAGTTGTCATAATATACAGATTACTGCCTTCTGATGTAATGAGATTTTGCGTAGGGACAACTATTTCTACATAGCTACTGTAGCCTACTTAAGCCTACTTTCCCAGCAACAAATAAACCGTTTTCACTGTTGACACTGTTGCCTATAAGGCTATGTTGTGGAACAACAATGTATGTGTTTCCTAAATTAGATAATTTATTCACATTTTTAAAAAATGTTATCACACGATCATATCTGTCTGTGTGTCATTTTACCATCAGTTTTAGTTTCATTTTTCACCGCAACAAAATGCTTTAAAAGAACTGCACTACAAAAAATGGATGGCTTCTATTGGGCTGTCTTTAAAAAACACTCTAAGAAACCAATCAAATAAACAAACAAATAAACAGTCAATCAAACAATCAATCAGTCTTTGACTTTCAAATTATATATTTTTGGCTACACTTTGGAATCTAAACAGCTCCAACACTGACACCTGCAGCAAGTGTGCCATTACACCAGCAGCTAATTTATTCAAATACATAACCACAATCCATGCTGAACTTACCGAAATAGGTGACAGCAAAACCTTCCAAAACGCAAGCCCAATTTCCAAGGAAAAAATACCCTTTGGCGTTTGTTAGAAAACTTATTGTTCCACCGGTGAGTGACACAAGGAAATCAGCGAGAGCTAAATTAACTATGATATAATTTAAGGGCTGTCTCAGCTGTTTGAACTTGTATGTGGCCAACATAACAGTGAAATTTTCAAAGAGAGACAGAGATGTTATAACAAACATCAAGGTAGCCAAAACTGCGAAATTCCAAGGTGCAAGATTTGTTATTGGACCAGTGAACGGATCAGCATGTGGTTTGTAGATCTCTGCTGCCTCGGTATAAGAAACACCATTTACTGCAATTCTTGAAGTATCCATTGTCCCATGTCCAAATAATTGCACGCGATTAAGAGAGTAAAATTAATATTGCACTAGGGGGTTATGTAAAGGGTCTGAGATCTTAAGGTCCATATGTCTCATTTTCACAACTTAATTTGGACTCTCTTCCTCGGAGTCGCGCGTAAAAAACATTAGTTTGAAATAATGACTGGATCAACAGCCATCATTTGAAACGTTTAGACTACTTTTATTAGAGTAGGTTGAACGTCAGATCTTGATATCCGCATTTTGCATTAAATAACCTATTTTGGACCAAAGCGACGAATCCACAGTTATTAAAAGTTCAAGGATAATCAAAGAGTGAGCTTGCATCTCGAAAAACAGCAACCGTAAACCAAAAGGGCAAAAGCAGTGTTGCAAATAAACGAACACTTTCTTAATTAATGTGTGGCGGCAAAATCGAAGTCTTGAGAAGGAATACCAGCAACTAAATAGGTGACTGATGAGCTGCATCTTGTATGCGCTTATATAGCGGGTAGTCGACTCGCTCGCAACAACTCCTGCCCTCTAGGATACGCAGCTACTTGTCAGATGTGCGCGGAGGTCTGTATGCGCCAGTCATGAATCGCGACGAATACGCTGCCTTTCACTTTCATATTTTGGATATTTTGGGTGATTTTACAAAAAACGTTTATCAATAGATTTCCTTTACTCATTTTGTCAGGAACCATAAACTGGTATTGGCTGTGACTATTTTATTCGACAATACATTTTACTCCGTTTTCAAAACACTTTTCTGCAGATTTCATTACCATGGCATCATAAAACATTCAATTTTAGTTTAAAACTGAATGACAAACAGAATGGGGTTGTGGATTATTTGGTTTATCTGTCTATAGTATTAGTTACTACCACATTAAGAAATCATTATTTTAATTCCTTAACATGAATATGGGCCTGCGCTGGCTGTGCTTGTATATCTGCACGGAGGCTACCATCAACAATGCAATTTCTTGTTGAAATAGTTATATATTTATCATTTTGACAGTAGTTACACTGTAAAGAGGTTACCTTGAATTTGACAGTAGTTTACAGGCAGCTTGTGGCAAGTAAAATTCTGTTTTTAATATTTCAGGACACCTACTGTAATATAAAGATGGTATCAAAGCAAGTACTGTGTAATGACACACAGTACAATACCGTAAAATGTACTATATTTTTTTTTTACATTTGAGTCATTTAGCAGAAGCTCTGAAGCGACTTACAGTTTGTGAGTGCATACATTTTTCATACTGGCCCCCAGTGGGAATCGAACCCACAACCCTGGCGTTGCAAGCGCCATGCTCTACCAACTGAGCTACAGGAGTCCTATCATACTGTAAAAAAGTAAATGCTACCATAATCGGAATGGATGAATGAAATTCATTGTGAGGAGGGGCTTGTATTTCACTGTATTTTACTGTAATTACAAGGGATTGGTTCAAGCAGGTTGGCTGCTAGGTAAAGTGTTTACACATTACAGCATATTAATGAATATTTGGTGTTTTATATCACTTGCACTTCTAGAGGCCTTAACAAAGGCTTCCAAACGGGCAGTGACTACAGGGCAAAACAGACCAAAAGGACATGGCAAAATGCTAGCTGCAACTCCAATCATGCATCATAAACAACAGGTGTAGACTAACAGTGAAATGTTTACTTACGGGCCCACATTTTAAAAATAATATAGAAATAGTAACACAAGGAATAAATACACAATGAGTAACGATAACTTGGCTTATACTCAACTATCTAATCTGTCCCCTATACATTTTAAATTGATGGGGCACTATAACCACATAGGAGTTAAATTGTTACAGCATTCCCCCTCACCGGTGCAACAAATATAGCCTCTTACAAGGCATGCTTCAAAATGTGTTAATATGCCAGAAACAACTAAACCAAATCAAATCAAATGTATTTGTCACATGTGCCGAATACAACAGGTGTAGACCTTACCATTCACCCACTAGAGGTCAAAAGGGTTTTGGCACTCCAAAGAGACTATATGATACTGTATTCTGTGGGGTGGAATTACAATACCATTCGAAATACAGCCATTTTCCCACAATGCACCATCATTTACGGCAGAGGTGTGGACTCAAGTCACATGGCTTGGACTCCAGTCACAAATTTGATGACTTGATTGGACTGGATAGAAAATAAAATAACTTGAGGCTTGACTTGCACTTGGAGCCTCAAGACTCTGGACTCGACTTTGACTTGAGACTGATGACTTGAAGTTATCTGGCCAGGTTTTCTAACGTTTTGTCACTCACTTTGTAGCACAGATTCTTAGTGGATTAGCCTACTCTCCACGCAGCCAGTGACTGTAGCTGCAGGCAGCGTCGCACATGCAACAGATTGGCTAGTAAAACGCACACTCGGCCCTCTGATTGGACCAGCAAACGGTCAATCAACACAGGTCGGGTGAGCTAGCGCAGTCGATCTCAAAGTGGAGAAGGTTCTGAGGGGTCGCAAGTATGAAACGGAAAGGTAAAAATACATATTTGTAATACATATTTTAATTGACTACATATACATACCATTTGTATTTTATATTTATATCTTTGCCTATTCGATTTGGTTTCAAACATAGGACTACGGTATTGCACCCAAATGATAGGCTAAAAAAATAAATTAATCTAATCTGTGCGTCAGAACCCCAAAATTGTCCATTTTGATTGTTGACCAATGACCAGTCATAAACAGTAGCGCGCAAAGCGGGCGCGCATATCCAGATTAGTCTCAAGGAAGCACTTGTTTAATTTTCTCCGGTTTTTCCTGGTTAAAACAGAATAGGCCTACGTTTATATTATCCTAATAGCGATCTACCACGGACGCATCTTTGCCAGAACAATAAAGGTTGGCTACCTGGCTAGCAATTTCAAATAGTCCTAGTTTCGGTGGCTACTGGCTGTCTGAAGATAGCTGTAACATCGCACTGCCTCCAAAATCGTGGGATGAAGATTTATTACGATATTTGTGAGGAAGAAACGGGCTACAGACATCAGTCTCCTTCACCTACAGGTAGGTATGCGCATTATCATTTTAGTCACTTATCCAGAGAGATTTACAGTTAGTGAGTGCATACATTATTTTTTTATTTTTTCATACTGGCCCCCCGTGGGAATCGAACCCACAACCTTGGCATTGCAAATGCCATGCTCAACCAGCTGAGCTACATCCCTGCTTACTCTGGACTCCAGAGAAGTGACATGATATCCCTAGTTGTTATTGGCTGCTAGCATGAATTACTTTCATCTCAAAATGCTGGTGTAAAACGCAGTATATTTATGTCTTGCGTTTTCAAAATGTATCACCGTTTAGTGATGGGTCGTTCGCGAACGAACGGCTCCTTTTGAACGGTTCTTTTTGGTGAACGTTGGGAACCGAATTGCATTGGTGAAAGAGTCGTTAATTTGGCTGATTTGCATACTGCTACTACTGCTTTTTGAGCTCAAAAAACGTTTTTCTGCAGATAAGTTACAAAATAAATATCTAAAGATATTGAATCCTCACTGCAGAAACAATAACTAGTGGGGAGAGTGTGCCACTCTGGTTCACGCAGATTATTTTCAGTGTGTAAAAAAAAACGACATTTTTTGCAGGCCATCTAATAATTTGGCCAGGTAAAATTGTATTTGAACGTGCATTTCATGATCTGACATAATGGTGGACTACCTTTTGGGCTGTAAATTGGAGATTTGCTATTTTCTCTTGGTACTATGTCGATTTTTAAGCATTTTGAACGAAGAGCCGTTTGGGAGCCAAATGAGCCGTCTCTTTTACATGAACAGAGCCAAATGAACCGGCTCACCGAAAAGACTCGGAATGCCCAGCACCATCATAATTTATGGCTGTAATGACAGGCTACATTTGCGCAGCGATTGGGGTGTCGCGGGTCAAAAAGTTTAATATCCACTGAGCTAGCGAACAGATTGCTGATTTGCTCTACAGCTATATAGGATTGGGTGTAGCGCAAATCTCAAATTGTAGGTAGAGAGGATTGCCATAAATAAATATGCTGTTCCAAAAAGTGTTTGGTGATCAAGAATATGAAAGCTCACCAACAATGGGGCATCACGCAACAATTATTAGCATAGACCTACTGGTCTTTCAGTATGAAATTGCTTGAAATGTATAATTTACTTATGAAGCTTGTATTTGGAATTTCTTGGTAAAATTAATTATTTCATAGGCCTAATCAAAATATGTTGTAGACAAAATAATGAAAAGGGCTGGTAGCCTCAATAAATAGACAAAGATCTGTAGTTGAACAAGTCATTGCATGTATAGATTTATTTTTCTTGACTTAAGACTAGGGCTGAACGATTAATTGCATTCGCGATAATATCGCGATTTGACTGAACGCGATTTTCTAATCGCAACGTGCGCGATTTGAGGTGGTCACGTGACGCGACTTTTCATGCTGTCCAGCGCAATGGCCTCTTGCTCGACGGAACAGTCAGAAACTGACACAGCTGATACTTTAATATCGAAGAGGAACAGCACGTCGGTGGTGTGGAACTATTTTGGTTTTAAAAAAGAAGATGCTGAGCAGCGTCAGGTGTTGTGCAGAGCATGCCGTGCTCCGATTGCTACTTCACGGGGTAACACTACAAACCTGTTTCAGCACTTAAAAAAATACCACAAATCAATGAATGACAGTTGTATGACCAAAATGCCGAGCATCAGTGCGCGAGACAAGCCAAATACCTCAAGACAGGGATCACTGACAGAAATGTTCGAAAGTGTCACTCCGTATGAACGTAATTCAAAACGGCACGGAGAAATCACTCGGACAATAACCGAGTTCATAGCCAAAGATATGATGCCTCTCAGCACGGTGACCAAGCCTGGGTTCATGGCATTAATACATACGCTTGATAAACGTTACAGTATACCCTCCCGCACATACTTCAGTCAGACTGCCATACCGGAGCTGTACAAAAAGTGCAAAGAGAAAGTCGCCGCGGAACTTAAAACGGTGGAGTTTT